GATATTATATCTAAAATAACATGATTAACAGACAGCTCTTTTTTACCTAATCACATAAACCAACCTGTTATAATTTATTTCTTTTTTTTCCTCAATATTGATCATAAATAATGGACATATAATAAAAATTGTGAATTCGCTAAGCAATGATCTGAGGAAATATTTGTAAGAAATTAAAACAATGCGTGCATCTATATAAGACGACTATTACTTTTAGTTACATTATATAAAATTTTGTCATCATCTAAATTTTAAGATTCTAAGAATTCTAAGACAATAGCATGATTTGGAGTAAGACGCAAAAGACTTTTGTATCAATTTCTAGCGTACCGATTTATGCTATAATGCAATAAGAACACTCTTAGACAGAGTCGAGCACTCGAAGTCCACAATTTTCAATTACAAAATTTGACTTTAACATCTTTTCAGAAATACTTTTATAAAATATCTAATACAATTATTCTTTTGAAATAAGTATTAAGAAATGAAATTAGAAAAAATTATTTTAAATAATTGAATCCTTGATACAATCAATTAAGGAGGTTTCCTACATTAGAAGGTTAAAAAAATTCGATTTTTTTTTTATAAATTGATAGTATAACTTTTCGAGAATAAGTCCTAAAATTTTAGAGCGAAATTCGGTATAAATTTTTGCTTGTATATACGGGTGCACGGCGCGCAAGTGTAATAAATAATTAAAAAAAAATTTGTTTATTATAATTCTAAAAGCCATACTCTTAAAGCCATTCAATTTTCGTTCAGAAAATTTTTTTCTATATCTTATAGTTTCGATGATATTCATTTAAAAAAAAAAACGAACTTTTTTGAGGAAGTGTTTCACCCTTTAAACCTCAAGATAAGCACAAACAAAAAACGGGTCTAATATTTTTTTATATTCTACAACATATCCATAGCTCATTAAAATCGGTGAAGATCGGTTCCCTTGTTAATAGCATGAAAGAGATCCGAGAATAGCTCGTAGAATGGCTCGTAGAATGGCTCGTAGAATGGCTCAAATTATTCAAAATGAATTTCAGAAAAATTGAAGAAGATTGTATGTCCTTGAAATAACAAATTAGCCTCCGAACATTTAAGTACTTAAGAATTAAATCGAAAATTTTAAACGCATTTTTCTGTTTTTTGTATTTTCTTCAATTTTGTGTACACAATTTTATGATTGAGAAAAAAGTATTTGTCCGATCGACTTCTCTTAAGGTTCGTTAGCTAATAGTTAACCATCCTCGATGAAGCTAAAAAGTTAAATAAAAATTAACATTACTTTTTTTTTTGCATAAACGAACGGCTGCTACCTAGTGAAAATCTTTACTTTTTTTCAAAGTTGCACAAAATTTTAATTTATATATATTTAAAAAATTTTTTAGATTCATTTAAGATGTTATTCTAAACAAAAATTAAAAATATTTGTTTATTTTTCGATTCTGGCAAGAATTACAGTCGCTAGAATATACACAAAATCGTAACGAAGCGCCAAACTAAATGTTTATATTTTATGTTTAAACTATGTTTATATTTTTATTTATAATACTTTTTTCACATAAAAATTTGTATGTACTCTACAATATTAAAACTTGTATTCTACAATATTAAATATTAAAAGTTATATTAAAACATGTAAAAAGTTTGAAATCGATAAACATTAGTCTTCCTTTTGAAAAAAAAAAGAAAGATAAACAAAATTGCTTCAATTTTGCCGAAATATTGCCATCAAACTTTTATTACAATTATTGCTGCAAAATTACTATAAAGTTATTCTACTACAGTTTATGTGTTCTTTGCTCGCAATATTGCATCGAATCTCCTTTATTAAACTCATCTTGTATGGCTTGTAATATTTTTAAATAAATTTTCAGCAAAATACTGGCAAAATGTTATCTGGGAAGATTAAACTTTAATAATATAAAATAACGAAAAAATATCTCATATTTTTAGATTACAGCTAGTGAAAGCAAACTTAGATGACGTTTAGGGCGTATCATAAAAAAATGCCTTGTATCTTTTAAAAACGGATTATTTATCTATTATTTTTCGCAATGAAACTATTGCAATAGCAAAACTACAAAACTTTTCATCGGAACTCATGGTTATCGAATTTTCAATACTTTTTTGAACAGATCAGCTTAATTTATTACTTAAATGTCTGTAATTTATTTTATTCAAGTGTTATGGCTATTAATAACAATTAAGTTATATAATCGATAAGATAATTATCATAATTTAAAAATAATTTTATAGAATTCAATTATATATTCACCGTGAAACGATATATTAGGTGTGGGAAAAAGTTCGTGGCGTTTTTTTAATGCCATCTAATAGGAAAAACGCCACGAACTTTCTCGCACATCTAATATGATAATATATGGATGGTAAAAATTTTCTCTTGGAAAATATGGTGCGTTATATTATATATTGAGTATATGTGTTAATAAAATAAATGTCTACTGAGTCTGTGCAGCTTTTTGACAAAGTATTCTCAAAATAAACATAAAAATATATCTCTCAGCGAACATTTACTTTTTATAACTTTGGAAATCTGTGCAATCAAGATGTATATGAAAATAAATGTGTAAATAACGAAAATATTGCTTATTTTTATTAGAAGTGGCTTTACATTGAGATAAATCTAAATATCGCGTTAAAATAAAATTGCAATTATTTGACATCATATTAAAATATTTGATTTTTAGAGTTAGAAGTAGCATTATTTAGAAATTAGTTCTTTAATGCTTAATTTTTAAATTTTTTATTTTAATTTTTAAAGTTATGTTTTGAATACAAAAATTAACAGAAGATATATATATATATGTTCAAAAATTGTGTTATTATATTGTGTTATTGTATTAAATTACAATGAGACGTTATATTTTTTTGTTAATAACTTTTTAACGAATAACAAGCGATGGCTAAAACTTGTTGAGGTTACTCAGGCCTATGACCTTGACAACATATATCAAGGTAAAGATTATTGGGAAAGAGGTCTCTTGGAGATT